AACAAGAAAAATCTACTATAGATGACATTTTTTGAAAGACGCAAACATTTTATATTAACTTCTACATTAAATAAGGTTTTCATGAATTTTACGCAAATATTTTCTATATTACTTTTGTTAGCTTGCTTCATAAAACACCAATAATTTTTAAAAATCACTCGTTCAGTAAGAATTCGACAAAATCACAGTACGACTTCTTCACTGCATACTTCCGGGCGAATTCCTGAATTGCACGTCGACGTTTTGAAGCTACCAACTGATAACTAGAACGACACATAGTAATTTTGTTAAATTAAAATTAACTGCTTGAATACTTTTAAGCGTCAATCAACAACCTAATAGTTTCATCAACGAAGGTATTGCATTCCAAACCTTGTTCTTTTGTTGAGTATTTTACTCGCAGCTGTCAATGCAAGAAAATTTCGCAATGCTCTATCATATGAACTATACCGAACAGAAATATGATGAGATTTAACATATCGGAATATATCGTTGTTGTAGTTATCGTTATAAAATTAACTATTCATAACGAAGCTTAAAACTCATATGAATAAGGTAGTAACCAAAATAGAAAATACAAAATATGACAAAAAAATAGGAAGAGAAGATTTGACAAACTTTTCGAGTTCTACGGTTCTTCGTCGAGCAATACTAATAATTGTATGTTTCAGAAGGGTTGGCAAGGCACTGCTGGAAACTAAACAACCATCAACCAATGGTCCTGGCAAACCACATCTGAGATAATAATTTTAAAAAATTCAATTGGAGCTATTGATTAAAAATTTTAATTCCACCTGCACACACAAAAAAAGTTATACTCAAGAAAACTACACTTACTTCGTCCAATCACCAATTATATTAATTCGAACAAGGTCATTTTCCACCTCCGAAACGAAAATCATAATTAGATCTGGTCTTGCATTATTCTTATCACTGCACAAGGAATTATCCATTGTCATGGGGGACATTTCCTCTAGGAACAATTGAAAATTTTGTAACATCAATAAGTAATATCAAAATCTGAACCGAAAAGTGATTAAATATGGAAAGCTAAAAAATAAGCAACACACAAGCACAAACCATATGGGAAATACTGCATGTCTTCAATCCTTTCCAAAAAAACCACATAAACACGCTGATCCGAATTGCGCTTGACGAACGTAATCCTTTCCGAACTATCTTCTGAAATATAAAACAAAGTAATATGCAAGAGCGTGGAATTTTACATTTAAACAAAGTTCATAGTTTATTCCAGAATTCTTACACCATAGAAAAAATATGCGATCTTGGTCAGGGTTTCAAAGCATCCGCCTTTATGAGATGGCTCTAAGTCAAGCTTACTGTTCGAAATGATATGTTCGCTAACCTTTTGTTTCACTTCCTGTATCAACACCTGAACAACTTTTTTTGCGTGATGGCAAAAGTGTTTCTACCAGCAGTTTATTTGACCGTCCGCTACTATTACCACTGGTTTGTCCAGCTGACCGTTCATCACTGGATGAGTGACTTAATGCTCGACCACCTAAAAGATAAGACGGTAAGTTACTCATTTCAAAAACGAACCAAATCCCGTTGTAATCAAAATTTCTTGAAGGAAATTGACGGGTGATCATTTTGAAAATTTCACAAGTACGACTAGAAATTAATGAATAAATAAAATGAATGAGGGTCCGCAGATCTGTGATGGTATGCGCATTCAAACTTACTATATTAACGCCGCAATGCATTTTCAAAATGTTCAAACCTGAAATTTCTAGGACTGGAAAACTTCCAGAATATAAGTTCTTGAACAGAAGGAATGCTATACCCAGAATAACAAGGATAAGTTAATCATTTTAAAAACGGACCAAAATCTCGTTGTAACATTCCAGCAGCGTGATCCGGGATGTGTTCATCGGAATTAATAATGGAAATATTTGTATCACAGTTGGCAAGTAAATCACAATCAGCAGCAGGTGCTTGTTGCTTCCGGACACGTTCTGTTGGTGTTGTGAAGGCTATTTCAATGTGTGAATCGGTCCACCACAAGCAATGAGTAAAACCATCAATGATATAGTTATCCAAATTCTTTTCTGCTTCTTTTGGTTCTAAACATCGAAAATCTCAATAAAAATTCCAATAACAGTTTTTCAACAGCGTTCATTATTGCTTTGAGGATTAAATTATGCTTCAATCTGTCAATGCATGCATATTCAAAAGTGAATGGTCAAAGCACCTATTTTAATTAATGCAAGTCAAAAGTCAGTTTGAGAGAATTAACATCAGTAAGTGGTTGAAATCTATTTTTTATAACCCCATTTTTCTGATCTGATTATTCTTCAATCTGTCAATGTATGCGTATTCAAAAGTGAATGGTCAAAGCACCTTTTTAATTAATGTCAGTCAAAAGTCAGTTTGAGAGCATTAACATCAGTGAGTGGTTGAAATCTATTTTTTTACAACCCTGCTTTTCTGATCTGATTAAATCCCCTCTATCTGATTCAAAACGCTTTATTTTTATTTAAAATTAAAAAGTACCAAAATATTATTCTTACGTCACCCCATTCTGAAAATATGAATATATTAGAAATGTGATTCTAAAAAAAAAATCAATCATTCCTGAAATGATCACAGGAATGCTAAATTAATCCAAGATTTATTATAGAAATGAATATTAACTGCGTTCAGCGGAGAAGGCAGTAGCCCAATCACCGGTCCAGTGAGGATGCGTTTCCACTTCAACACCTTCACCTAATTCCGCTAACAAACCACAGAATAAGTTGCTTGTATTTTGCAGATTCATCTGTAAATCATCTCAAAATTTATGTGCTCATTCTCAACATTGAGTGCTAGAATTACAAGAGTATATAAATTAAACCACTGATGGCCTATATCAAAAAGATCCTTCGATTAAATTGTGTCACCATTAGCAGCTACCGCTTGAAAAAGTCGAGATATGTGGAATGCTTCACTTCTATGTTACCAGATAAAATTTAAACACCATGCATTTAGCTTAATACCATGCACTGAGGCACCTTACAAATGAACATGATCCTACATACCAACCAAACAATCTCTATACCGGACTCCAAAGCTTTGAAGTTTCACATTTTTTTTTTTCACCTCCATGGCATGATCAGATAAACAAATCGGATTCTCTGAAGAATAAATTTCTTAACTACTAATGTTCAGATGAGCAATGCTCTACTTGAGAAACTAAAGCCGACAAATAAATAGCTAACTAAATTATTGAGAAACCTACCGCATTAGCAAGGATATCTTTGGCGCTATGTTGACCGTCACGAACATAAAATAAGCGGACAGCCTGCAGTAACTTTGTCGGTGAACGATCGACCATTTGATGTAAATCACGGTAAAAATCAAGGCTGAAAGTCCCAGTTGTATTCATAATCAACATCAATTGTTTTCGTAGCTGTAATTATTCACCAACACGAAATTTCAGCACTTCTTGACATCATATATCTGAGAAATAAATATATCGCAAGAAAACTTGATTTGGCCTTTCAAACTTTTTAGCTCTAAACGAAAATTTACTTCGAAGAGTCCAGGAGCAATATATCACCAGATTTGTAACTTTCTTCTGAAATTAAGCCAAGATCATAGAGAAGTATTCGGCCCGCATTGCAGTTGTTTGATGGCCTGGAAAAATTCCATGTTTTTCAGAATAGGAGAAATACAATTGTATCTTGAGCTTCGGTGAAATGCATTTCATTATTTTTTTATCGCATCATCAACATTTTATTATTTCAAATGACAAACTTACTAAAAAGTAAATATGTAAAAAGGAAAATATTTTTTTGACATAAATATTGCGGAATAAACATTTTTTTAAGAGTTATTCGTAATCGTTAATCACAGAATTATGACCAATTCGCTAACTCTCTAGGTTGAGCAAATTTAGATAGTTCCTCTGAAAGTGGTTCACGAAGCCAGACATTGCGATCGTCCGAGGAACGCAGCCAACTTTCACCATGAGACATTCTTTTTCGAATATCAATCAATTCAGCAATGACACGATCTGTATCTGGTGTTGGTTGCAGCGGTGGAATTACGGAGTCTCTGAATTTCAAAAATTACAAAGGTTTTTATTTTCTGAGTCACTTTTGATAGAACCAATCCATCATCACGTTTTTTCAACCCAAACTTATTTACTTTTTGAACTTCAACTTTTGAATTTGGTTCGTTCTAACTCCAATTTTTTGAACTTACAGTTTACAGTGTGATTTTTCGAATTCGGATGGTATGCGGAAAAATCTGACAGTACTTTTGGGATCCATAGAAATTTCAACACTATTCTGAGGATGTTCACTTTTTTTGTCGTTATCAGTGACTGCATTTTTCCCAGCTGCAAACCATGACTGGAGTTGTACCAGCAATGTATAGGCAGCATGATAAGGAGTGCGTAATACCAGAAAAACAGATGGAAATCCTGCAATAAATATTCTGCGAAAAGTATTAAAATTGATAGTGCGAACAATGAGAATTAGTAAAAATATTATGATACTTATAATGCAAGAGAAAAGAAATTTTCAGCTGCTTGTAACTAATGATATTCTTAAACTGGGCATGTTCTGTTTTCACCAGTTGTTGAGTTACGAGTGAATAATTAAATCAAAATTTAAGCAGATGTTAATCAAATTTACGTACCTTTAGATTCGGTAGCTTCGTGAACTGAAAGCAGAGTTTGCTGTCGGACGAGAAAGTATCGGAATTTAGTGATATCAATCGTCTGATTATCAAATTTATATAACAACTTCTTTTCATCCATGATATCATCCTGTTTGTCATGAGCCTGCAAACGAATACATGGATAATGATATTGCAAGAAGTCAATCGCTTGGCTAACCCAGATAAGGGGCTAAATCAAAAATATATAACATTTTCAATAGAAGTAAATTTATAAATGAAATTTAATGCATTTTTCAGCATTTGATTTTCGAGAATTTGTGGAATGTTATGAAAAATGATGCAAGAAACGTAACTTTTACTTAGTGCACGATATAGTGGTCACTCACCAAAGCTGAGAATATCATATATAACAAACTTTCAGCAGCATCATCTACTCGTTTACTTGCTGCTTTCCGTTCCAATGGAGGCTGAAAAATAACTGAAATGTTGTTAAAATTATATTGCAAGAAAAAGAAAAGTATCTAAAAGCCAGCAATGAATCATCTTCCTACAACTAAAGAAACTTGGGTAAATTAAGCTTTCAATATTTCCACTCCTTTTCTATTTCGTCACAGGGACACGTTTTTTAGGCAACTAGTTTATAATTATATTCCTATTTTTTAAACTATTTATATTTATCAGGTGCGGCGAAGAAAACGAACAATTCCGTTGAATCCAACAATAAGTTTCCAAGAAGCAAACAGTGAAAATTAATAATGGAAAAAGAGAAGTTACATCTTAAGGACTTACAAGATCTTTTCCCCCCGTCAAGCCAAATTCGATAGTTTCAGCAACAGTTGTCAAACAAGATTCTGTCTCCAACAACAGCGGTGCTGCGCATAACCAAACAGATAGTGAAAAATATGCTGCCACGACCTTCAAGAACAAAATTTCATACATAACGATCTCCTCATCCAATTATCTCAGTAGCAGATATAACTGCGATATTTCTTGCATAACAGAGCATTTAGAAAGGAATGATAGACCTACCGAGGAATGTAAATCTTTAGAATGCAAAGGTGGAGGTTTCATTAGTTGTATGTCAATAAACCGACAAAGCGAAGTAACTATCAGAAAACCTGTCGACAAATCATCTGAAAGATATAGGTAATTAATAATTTGTATTCATCAACTTGTGAACTAGAAAAAGATTTTGAATGTTATAAAATGTTCAAAAAATTTCAAAACATTATGACTAATAAAAATGCGGCATTCTTACGACTAAAAAATTCATAGGAATTATGAAAGAACGAAACATATGAGGTTTACAAGGATATTAGAACGAACTTTCACAGAACAAAACCGATTGATGCATAGCGGAAAGGGCATTCAGAAAATCCAATGCCGCTAGACACACTGATAATTCGGATGACCACTGAGGTTTGCACAAATTGTCGCATACTGCACTCACTATCGAACGCACTATCGATGCACAACATTCTATAATTTCACTCATTTGTTAACAGAAGAAATTACAACTCAAACTTTCTAATACGAACTCCTGAAAAATGGGAAGTTTTAGCATTACCAATTAACTGCCAGATTCCCTTCCAAATTAACAAAGGACACAATTAAAAGCACATATCCCAAGTATTCCTCTCCTTCACTTAACACCTCCTTCATCTGCATAAAACATGATACGTAAAACATGTAAAACATGCTAAAAGCATTAACCAACATATTCACAAATGATTAAATATGTCAGAACAACTTACCTTCATCAGAATATCCAACATTTTTCCGTTCACTCTTTCTCTTCTCGACATTTTTTTCCTCCCTTATGTGTAAGTCATACAAACAACTTTCCTCACACAATATTGTACACAGAGCTAAAAACGCACCTTATTGATTCCTGTCTCTAGAGTCACAAATCAATGTCACATTTAATTTGAAGTGTGTTAGCGTATCATGATTCGACTGAAAAATGTTCAACTCACTAATTACCCTGATTGCAATTTATTTAGAAATTTGTTGATACAAATACTAATTTTGTTCAATGTGTTCATCTACCTCACCCAACTAGCACTTAAAATGTGCAAAATCTAAGCTATATCAAACAAGCATCATACTGTTAATAAAGCGGATTAAGAATTTAATTAGCCTTGCAAAAAAGGAATTGCCTAAACTAATAAGAAAACAAATGTTATCTTGTAATAAAACAACAGTACTCAAAGCGAGGAAGAGATTCATGGGGTCAATTTCATTACAAAGCGCAATGATAAGGATACGATGCATCCGAGGACGAACTTCGATGTATGTGAATGAGTTCTCGCTAGAATGTGGGCTTGATAAATCTGAAATGAAAATAAACTTACTGCTCACTCAATCGATAATAATAATAATGGCAATAATAATAATAATAATCTATCTAAAGTTGCCAATAACAATATTCACTTGCAAATTACCATTTAATGATGCATTTATAGAAAAATGGAATACAAAGAATTGGTCGACCAAAACCAGTGTCGATGTTTAAAATACTATATTATAGTCAGCAAGCAATCATTTTAGGGTTGCACAATAACCCAATACTTTTTAAAATAACATTCGAACAAATTCTAAAGCAACTTAACATTATAAAATGGAATTATAACGAAAATCCTGAAATCTTTGGAATCTTTTATTTAGCACCGTAACTTCACTTCTACTAATTTCTCTGTCTTCAAACCTACCACTAATGAGCATATTTCCAAACGTTGTAGGCCAACTGATGACAGATGACAAGGCATTCAAACAGGCACGACGCATTTGAATTTCTTCTATAGATGGATGAAGCCTAAAACTGTTTCGTTTTTTCCGCACATAAGTGATTCCATAAGTTTTGGAAAGAAGTTCAAAATAAGGAATTTTCAATGTCGATTTTAGTGTTTAAATAGCAACTTCAGATACTCGCACTGCTGATATTCTTAAATAAATAAATGTGAACTGCACGGTTTTTTTTTTACGCAGTAACTTTCAGAATGTGATTAAAATTGTGCCTTCTGTTCATGAAACTATTATTTGGAAGAGTCGAGATTCAGAGGCCTTTTCATGTGTGGTAAAAAAAAGATTAGATCTTGCTTACATAAAATTTTGAATCAAACCTCAACTTCATAGACTCCGTGTAGACCATTTCGAGTGCTTGAACGAACTGTGGTAAAAGTATTTCAACGCTTTTTAAAGCTAGACGAAAAATACCACCGCCAAAATAAATAAGCGCACAAAGCATCAACCGATCCTTCTGAAGAAGAAATGTGACAAATAGAATTTAGTAAGTTAATTTTTCCAGAAAATATTAAAAGGAATGAATCATTTGGGAAACCCCACACTTTCTGGTACGGACAAAAGCGCAATCGGATGATATTTATAAGCTACGAGGATATTTTGAGCATCAAAATATCTTATTTTACCTGTATTTAATACCAGTTGAGAGACCAATTTTAACAGGTGTGATTTTGGCTTTTATATAGTTCGCTTATATATTATGAGATAACAAACTAAAGCCAGCTTATCATACCTACCGCGACCACGCTTCTCCATTAATTGGAAATAATCACAAAAATACCTCCAGTAACGCCTCGTAAATAACTTTGTAGAATTGAGCCAGCTGCGAATCTGTTATGATTTCTTTACTTTTCTTGGAACATATAATGCGACAAAGGGCTCCAAGAGCAGCAGCTCGACCCGCTGACACTCCATCCACTTCGGGCCATTCAGTTGAGTGCGATAACCTCGAATAAGCATCGCCAGATGACGTCATCGAATGGGCTGAAACAATAAATATTGTACTCCTTCGCAAAATAACTGTTTTATATATCTCTGTGCTCACGAGAAATAATAGGGTACAGCTTAAGATGTTAAGCATCTTAAGCTGTCAAGTAACGTTATAGAATTTCAAATAAATAATGCGACATGAGCCATAATCAATGAAAAGAAGCCGTGAGCTTTTTTTGAAAAAGAAAAGAACCTTAGAATCTTTCATTTTATTATTTGACGGAAAGAAAAGATCCCAATCCTGCCTAATCCAAAATTTAAAACCGAATACCAAATGACCGCCGAGAAACTGCCGACTCATTCACTGATGCAACAACACCGAAGGCACTTCCGCCACTTTTTTCAGTACTGTTTGTAGCTGCCATCCGCTCATCCAAATAAGGCGTCTCTTCAGCACCAGTGGAACTCATCAAGTGTTGATTGACTGCATCTGTAACAACTGAAAAAAATATTCAAGAGATTAAAAAGCGAAAGAATTACAAAATTCACCTTTATTAGCATCTAGACTATTTTCATTCATACCTGAAATACAATTATTCTTTTTTGTCATATAGATTCCGTAACTATGACACAAAATAAAGGCCCAGAAATTATATATATATATATATATATATATATATATATATATATATATATATATATATATATATATATATATATA